CTCCGCGGGCTCTGCGCCACCACGCAGCGCCTCCACAGTCGCCGCACGCACGACGTCACAGCACGCCACCTCCGCGCAGGCAGCGTGCGACCGTCGGCAGTCGCAATCGGAGGGCGTGAAAGCACATATTGCCCTAAGGCTAAATTCTTGACCAAGATATTCAAGACTGTCCGATGATTCAAGTTAAGTGTCAAACGCGCTGCTACCAACATATCGGCTAGCTTCTGATTAGCAGGACTTGTTTGGTGGAAGGATGTGATGTGATGTGATTGATTAGTGTGACCCGATGTAATCGTACAACCACTCTGTTCATGCAGGAGACGACCATCACGCCTGTGGTTCTCGCTCAACTCAGATATACTCCCCAGAGGTATTCTATTTCTTTACCGAGGGAGTACAACAGTTTGGGTCGTTAGTTGCACGTACAGCATCGAGATATACATATTTTTTCCCCGCAAAAAATGTCAACACATTTTATTGCATGCATGCAGTCATGCTAATCGACCGTACAATTATTAACGACAAAAAGAAAAACATATTTTTTCCCCGCAAAAAATGTCAACACATTTTATTGCATGCATGCAGTCATGCTAATCGACCGTACAATTATTAACGACAAAAAGAAAATGTAACAATGGAGTAATAATAACGAATTAAGCTACTAGCTCCGGAGGAAATACCCACATTAGCTGCCTCGAGTTCCACGACCTTAGGTATGCGTTGTAGCTATCGAGATCATTCCCTTGGGCACTCACTGTTTGGGATCTCATGTCGAATACATCTTCCGTGTCAGCAAAATAAATAGCATCCTTTTGTATCGCCGTGCTGAAAGCAGCAGAGACAGACTTGCTGAACCGTCTGCTGATGAAAAGCGCCTGGTCCTCTAGCCACGCCTCCACCGGCACCCACATGGCTGCCCTCATGTCGGCCTCGAAAACCTCTACCGTGTGAGTGAACTCAAAAGGCGTTACCACTTGTCGCCTCACCATGAGCAGCTTCCCACGTGACTCGATCAGGTACCACATGGTTTTGATGTCATTCTCCATGGACTCGTCTACATCAATATATCGGAATTCTTGAGGAACCATGTCCTTCTTGGTCATCTTGGTCAAGTCATCATCCTCTGTGTCATGGTCGTCGTAATCATCATGGTCAAAACCTTCCCCGATGACACACTTGCCACCGGTAACAATGGGTACGCCGCTATAATTGAAGGCAATGTCAAGGAAGACTAGATCCTCATCCTTTGTGACCCCATAAAGTCTGTCTCCAAGAAAAGCAACATCGATGATGCTCACGAGGGGAGCCGCATAAGACTTGGGCAACCACACGCCCTTCCCAAGCCGGGTTAAGATGATGGGGCAACTGCGATGGTTGGTCATGAGAGCAATGACGTCATCCGGGGTGGACCGCAACAACACCTTGCGTATGTTGAAAAGCTTGGAAACATGGCCGATGGCAGCGTCCAGCTCGGGGAGAGACAATGTCGTGCCAGAAAACATGTTGTGCAACAAGTAGTTTCTATACATCTTGCCCACACGGTCGTCGATGGCGATCCAACCATCTGTAGAGCCAATGCATGTCGTCGTCTTGGGCAAGGAGACAAACCGGTGCCAAGCACGGACGGCGAGAGCCATACCAACGCAGCTCGTTATGGCTTTGGGGTAGGAGGCGATGCGATGCACAACACGGTCAAAGGGGGTCATGACCCCGCCATTCGGGAACACGATCCATGGAAGCTGCCTCGCAGGGGGGCGCGCTGCAGAGCGCCAAGAACGGCACACGGCCTGAAAGCAAGCACGATCGACAGGGAAAAAGATGCGCGCAAAGACCAGGGCTAGGAGGTCCTCTGGGAGTTCAGACCACGCTGCCATTGATGGCCGACTTGTATGGTTTGATTTGATTTGATTTGATTGATGCTGCGCTCCTGCAGGTCCTGTTTGTTTATATAGGATAGGATAGATAGATAGACCGACCGACTCCGGCCAGTGTTCCAACTCCTTTTTTATTATTATTATTTTTTTTTGCGGGCAAAGTGTTCCAACTCCAACACGACCCGGACTCCCTTGCCTAATTATAGATACGGTAATATACGGGAAGGACTAGTAGACTATTAGTATCTACGCTACCAGGAGTACGTACGTGACCAAAAAAAAAGGAGTACGTACGTGACCAAAGAAAAAAATAAAGCAAATTTGCCAAACGTATATATGTACCATACACACACACACACAAAAAAAGGCTTTTTCGGCTGGGACACACACACAAAAAAAAAGGCTTTTTCGGCTGGGTTCGAATCGGAGAGCAGTCGGTCCAGGCTTGCTAATCGAATCCTTTTGATTCTCGAAAAAAAAATGAGCTCTTTATTTTTTGTATATGGTCCCGGTCAAGCTTGAAACAAGGTTTTGGATCCCGAGTGGACCTTTTCTCTTGGGAAAAAGTCCAAAACAAACCTTGAACTTGTAGACCAAAGATAAATCAAACCCTGAACTTTGAATTCCGGAAGTTGGCACTCTGAACTTGTGAATCCCGGTCTATTTTGAACCTTTAAAGCATTTACATGGTTTTTGCTGTGCATTAAGACAAATTTGGCCGGCCCATTAGGACAGTTGCTCGCGCCGCTCGTGCTTAGATGTAGGCTGACTCGCTCTTCTCTGGGTTTTCTTTCCTTTTTCGTTTTTACTTTGGTTTTTCTTTTATTTTTCCGTTTTTACTTTGGGTTTTATTTTTTCATTGATTTTCTTTTCTTTTACACTTGTTTTCTTTGGATTTATTCTTTGTTATATTTTTGTTCTTTTGTTTCTTTCTTGGGTTTTTTGTACGGTTTGGTTCTTTTGCTTTTCCTTTTGTTACTTTGCCGGTTTTAATCGGTTTCATTTTTTTGACACATATCTATTTTTTCTCAGTACGCAATGTACACTTTTAGCGCACACACTTTCAACTTTTTTTAAACATACTTTGCATATTTTTAAATATATAATGTACATTTCTTTAAATGCACATTTTCAACACCTTTTTGAATGTCATATTTTTTGAAATCCATAACCCACTTTTCTTCTATAACGAAACCAGTGAGCTTGCGAGGACTCGAACTCGGGACCTCGCACTCGAGGCACGCATACATGATAGACAACATGACATATATAAGAAAACACCTTTGAAAAGACGAACATTGTTGGAAATGTGTGAACTTTTTTTGAAAAGACGAACATATATTAGAAAACAATTTTATAAAAATGTGCGAACATTTTCGAATATTATAGAATTTTTATTGAATTTATGAACCAAAATTGAGAAGATGAACATTTTTTTGGAAATTTGTACAATTTGTTTTAAAAGATGACATTTTTTGAAATTTCTGGACATTTTCTGAAAACGCGGACATTTAAAAAAATACTGGAACATCCTTTTTTAAATCCAGAACATTATCCTAATTTATGAAAAAAATGCGAACACAAACATTTTTTTAGACAAACACAAACATTTTATGAAATGTTGATTTTTGAAGAAAAAAACAAATGTATTGGGCCGGCCCAAATTCTGGTTAGTGTGAGTAGCAGGTTATCCGGGCCGGGATTGAGTATTCCTAGTGTGCCAAACAGGGCTAGGGTCCGAAATAAACCGGGATTGATAAGTTCAGAGTGCCAACTTCCGGGATTTAAAGTTCAGGGTTTGATTTATCTTTGGTCTACAAGTTCAAGGTTTATTTTAGACTTTTTCCTTTCTCTTGAGGGGCACCGAAATTTGCGGTTACCACGATAACCGCGAAATACCAAAAAAAAATCGAACGAAATTTAAAATCAAATTTTGAATTCAATTTTTTTAGGTCAACATAAATATGTATTCAACTCTTAAATGATCACTTGCGATTCCCTTAGTAGTGGCTGGTCACCCGAAGCTGTCGCTTGCTGCGCATCGCGAGTGCGACCAGACTTGAACCTGAGACTGGCTGCTATGGAGAGCATGTCTTTGCCACTACGCCGTCATGACCAGGAGTGTTGCCATAGCAGAGATGCCATATATTTAACTAGAAGGTGAGTGTTTGAATTCAAATTTTTTTGCTCGGTATGAGTGTATTTTGTGGAGGGACGGTAAACGCAGTAACCGCTCAAGATCTCGAAATTTCGGGTGGTAACCAAAACGCTGGCTTGAACTAAATCTTCACTTGCCCAATCATGCACTGATTGTGCTCATTCCTAAGAAAACGGATGCCGAGAACATGGGCGACTTCCGACCCATCAACTTGCCGCTTATCAGATCCAAACTGTTTGCCAAGTCGCTGGCGACCAGAGTGAGACCGAACATGAAGAACTTAGTGGCCTTCAATCTGTCTGTGTTTATCAAACAACGAAGCTTGCATGACAATTTTCTCTTGGTGCGCCAAGTTACTAGGAAGATCTCCGAGAGGAAGTGCAAAGGTGTTTTCCTCAAGCTTGACATCTCTCGCGCATTTGACTCTTTATCTTGGTCGTTCTTGTTTGAAGTACTTGGAGCCACAGGGTTCGGCTCAAGGTGGATCAATTGGCTGGCCATACTCCTTCAATCTGCCTCCACAAGAATTCTGATCAATGGTATGTGATATCTACTACGCAACCTTTTTCTTGTAGACGTTGTTGGGCCTCCAAGTGTAGAGGTTTGTAGGACACTAGCAAATTTCCCTTAGGTTGATGACCTAAGATTTATCAATCCATGGGAGGCGTAGGATGAAGATGGTTTCTCTCAAACAACCCTGCAACCAAATAACAAAGAGTATCTTGTGTCCCCAACACACCCAATACAATGGTAAATTGTATAGGTGCACTAGTTCGGCGAAGAGATGGTGATACAAGTGCAATATGGATGGTAGATATAGGTTTTTGTAATCTGAAATTATAAAAACAGCAAGGTAACAGATGATAAAAGTGAGCATAAACGGTATTACAATGCTAGGAAACAAGGCCTAGGGTTCATACTTTCACTAGTGCAAGTTCTCTCAACAATAATAACATAACTGGATCATATAACTATCCCTCAACATGCAACAAAGAGTCACCCCAAAGACACTAATAGCGGAGAACAAACGAAGAGATTATTGTAGGGTACGAAACCACCTCAAAGTTATCCTTTCTGGTCGATCTATTCAAGATTCCATAGTAAAATAACACGAAGCTATTCTTTCCTTCCGATCTATCATAGAGTTCGTACTAGAATAACACCTTAAGACACAAATCAACCAAAACCCTAATGTCACCTAGATACTCCAATGTCACCTCAAGTCTCCATGGGTATGATTCTAAGATATGCATCACACAATCCCTATGCAAACGTGTGCCAACCCCTATGCATAAGTTCACAAGGTCACTGAACCTGCAAGTTGATCACCAAAGCATAAATCAAGTAGATCACGTGAATATCCCATTGTCACCACGGATAAGCACGGCAAGACATACATCAAGTGTTCTCAAATCCTTAAAGACTCAATCCGACAAGATAACTTCAAGGGGAAAACTCAGTTCATCACAAGAGAGTAGAGGGGGACAAACATCATAAGATCCAACTATAACAGGCAAAGCTCGCGATACGTCAAGATCGTACCACCTCAAGAACACGAGAGAGAGAGAGAGAGAGAGAGAGAGAGATCAAACACATAGCTACTAGTACATACCCTCAGCCCCAAGGGTGAACTACTCCCTCCTCGTCATGGAGAGCGCTGGGATGATGAAGATGGCCACCGGTGAGGGATCCCCCCTCCGGCAGGGTGCCGGAATAGGGTCCCGATTGGTTTTTGGTGGCTACAGAGGCTTGCGGCGGCGGAACTCCCGATCTATTGTGCTCGCCGATGTTTTTAGGGTATTGCTACCTCTTGAGAACTGCGTTGGATTTTCCCGAAGAGGAGAGGATGATGCAGCAAAGTAGCATAAGTATTTCCCTCAGTTTTTGAGAACCAAGGTATCAATCCAGTAGGAGAGCACACACAAGTCCCTCGTACCTACACAAAACGATAGCAACTCGCAACCAACGCGATTAGGGGTTGTCAATCCCTTCACGGTCACTTACAATAGTGAGATCTAATAGAGATGATAAATAATTTTTTTGGTATTTTTGATAGATAGATGCAAAGTAAAAAGTAAAAGGCAAAGTAAAAACAAAGCAAGTAAATAAAGCGATAGAGATTGATATAATGAGAATAGACCCGGGGGCCATAGGTTTCACTAGTGGCTTCTCTCAAGAGCATAAGTATTCTACGGTGGATGAACAAATTACTGTTGAGCAATTGACAGAATTGAGCATAGTTATGAGTATATCTAGGAAATGATCATGTATATAGGCATCACGTCCAAGACAAGTAGATCGAAACGATTCTGCATCTACTACTATTACTCCACTCATCGACCGCTATCCAGCATGCATCTAGAGTATTAAGTAAAAATAGAGTAACGCCTTAAGCAAGATGACATGATGTAGAGGGTTACATTCATGCAATATGATAAAAAAA